AATTGCTGGTTGCACTTTCCAATACTGTCCAAGTGTTATGTAGCCCAGGGTATAGTCCCAGGATATGTGGAACCGCAAATCCTTTGAAAAAAATTGGAGACTGGTGTTACCTGTTCTAGGCCGATCACATGATTGGGATTTAAATGATTGTGTAATCATCAGTTGACATGGCTGGCGCTCCTGTAGAATCATGTATGCTGTAAACACAAGTGGAAATGAATCGGTGAGAATGAGGCTGGAGGCCCCTGGCTTGGACTTTGTAACAACAAAGCTAACAAACTGAGCCCCATGTAGAATAATGCCTTTAATAATGCTCAGCTGGCTGTAATGAATCGAATAAGCCATATAAAAGGGCTAGATAGGCAAAGCGCAGAGAAGCAGGGGGTGCAAGAGCAAGGCAAAAGCTCCTATAACATCTACTCTGCAGGAAGCGGTGTTTTGGGTTTCAGTTCCTGGATTTGGTTTATGTTCTTAAAGGGCCAATCCCTTGTTTTGTATTAGTCTTTTATTAACATAACGAGTTGGCTCGCTCACCCTGCATGTTCAGCTGGGCAAGCTCCCCATGTACTGTCCGCCTCATCCCAAAAATAGCCAAAAACATTCAAACTCATGTATGTGTAACCTGTATATGCATTTTCCGAATGACAAAAACTCTTCTTATTTCAGTGTGTATGAAATTCAGTTATGAAGGGTAGTATGATGGCAGAGCTTAATCTCTTTATCCTAGTATATGCATGACGTAATGCATTTATATTTTGTTTATACTGTATTTATTTTTGCATATAAAAGTTAATATTACTTTTTTAATCATTCATTTATCTTCTCAGCTTCTCTAAATGGCCATTGGTATCTATAGTGTAATATAGATGAGAGCTTCATTGGAACTTATGAAGTATTACAATCAACACTATAATTCCTGATGACTGTCAATAGAAGATTGTTATTAATTCTCATAACAACCATCGTAATGAATTATGACGATGAGAGCTTGTCCAATTCTGGTCCTGGAGGGCCGGTTTGCAACAAGGATTACATATTTCCCTGCTCAAACACATCTTATTCAACTGATTAGCAGGTTTAGTAGGTATATAGGTATGTAATGTGTCTGAGAAGGGAAATCTGCAGGCAATGGGCGTCGCCGCTATTACATCTGAGGGGGACGTGTCCCCCTCACATTTCATAATTATTCGTTTGGACCCCCCACATTTAACATAAAATATTAGTTTTATGCCAGTGTGTCCCCCCCCCATGTTCAAAATGCTTCTGACGCCCCTGCTGCAAACTGTCTTGCAAACTGGCCTCCCAAGATGGCAATTGGGCAACCTTGTCCTATTCATAACCACCATATGCCCGGCCAAAAAAAAGGTCGGCATTTGAATTTTTCATTGGACTGCCTTTAGCTTTGATTATGGTGCACATTTGTCATGGCATTGTTTCCACAGGCTTATGCAACATCTCACCTTTTATTTTCACCCAGATTTGCATTCATTTCTCACTGAGATGAACCACTCTGTAAAGCCTCCTTCATCACATCCCAAAGACCTTCAATGAGGTTAAGGTCACAACTCTGTGGTGACTAAGTCATACGTGAAAATGATTCCTCATGCACCCTGAACCACTCTATGACAATTCGAACCCATTGAATCTTGGCATTCTTGTCCTGGAATATGCCCATGCCAACAGGGAAGATAAAAATCCACTGATGATGGATGGAGGTGTAACTTGGACATTCAGTAGATTCAGGTCCTCAGCTGACTTTACTTTATTGCTGCATAACATTGCTGAGCTGTAATAATGATCCAGTCATTGGCTCTTAAGTATTTGCTGATATAAATTCAAATGGCAACTTTTTTTGGCCGGGCAGTATACTTAGAAATACTTAAAAAAGGACATATTATTTTGCGGAATACTCGTATTAATGTCTCAGACATGCTTTCTGTCTTAGCCTGTTGAGCAAACTTCCTGAGACGTAAGATGTATATTTAAAGGGACTATAAAAATGAATAACTTAATGGTGTGTAGACAAATTGTGAAAAGCACTGGCCATTATTAAGATGTATAAGTGTGAATTTCCCTAAATGTGTTTTTATAGTTCAGTAGTAATTTTCCCCTTGGATGCCATTTCATTAATTTGGGCAGTATACCTAAGCTAGTCACTGCATAAATTACGCTAAATTGTTGTTGTCGTATCCTTTTCCGAGGGCATAAGATTATTAGGATTTAATATATTTTTAGAGGAAAGTGGGCCTTCACCAATAAGAATTCAATTTGGTAAAATACCTTTTCAATAAATTACAGGCCATCTGGAGTTTTGCTTTTTTATACAATTACATTATCACATATTGCTAGAAGCTCAATGCATTTCTCTAAGAATAACTTATATGACAGAAGCTGGACTGTTGTAATGCGCTGTTGAAACAATGATTGATAACAAGCAATTTGTACACATATTATCCACTCAAATTCGGAATACAAAATTGAACTCAGAAATTTTGTGTAGATATTATCAAAGATGGCTGTAAGTAGCCTCTTATATTGCATATGGGTTACCCTGACCCTGTAGCAGAAAACTGCGTAATATTTATGGTGGGAAGATAGAATTTGGAGTGTTTTTTGAAGTGCAGTTAGCTTGAAATAAGTGATCAAAATGAAGAGAAGCGTCAGACTTTTTGGAATGGTTCAAAGGTAGCAAAAGCATCAGCCGGCAACTATGAACTTCTCTGGATCATTTATAATCATATAAGAAATTTAATGCGTACCTGATGTCTGTTTGCGGTGTAGGACTGTAGAACTGGGACCTGTCTACACCAAATCAAGCAGGTCCATTTACACATGAGGGACATTATCCTTTAGTAATACAATGTTTTTATAATAAATATTTCCAAAGCAGTCTTTCACAACACTTTCTGTGGATGCCATAACTATAGGAATCTTTGAACACATTTATAACTCATTATCATGCATTCATAAAGCAATATAAACATGGCTGTAAATAGTTATAAAAAGGCACAACACATTATAATCATGTTTATTATGCATTATGAATGCTTTATGAAGCTTTCATCTATAATGCACTATAGATATATCTACAGTACAAAGCATCCTTAATGCTTATATCAACCATTAAAATGCACTACTTCACTGAAGCTTATAAAGTATTTTAATCAACTCTATAATGCCTTATGACTGTCAATAGAAGATACTGTAATGCTTTATTAATTCTTATACCCACCACTATAATGCATTATGAAGATGTCTATAGTGAATTATAGATGAGAGCTTCATTGGAGCTTATGAAGTATTATAATCAACACTATAATTCCTTATGACTGTCAATAGAAGATGCTGTAATGCTTTATTAATTATTGTACCAACCATTATAAGGTTTATTCTAAGACATAAAACTCCTTATATAGCCACTATCCTGTAATACCCATCAAACATTAAAGGCAATCACTCTGTTTTTAACTAATATTTATTCTTTTTCAAGATTAAGTTGTCAAAGAAACTTTCTATTTCTTCTCGAAGTTGGGTTCACAGTGCCTATTTTCTTCGAAATCATTAACAGCTTCAGAACAGAGTCTTACACTTAAAAACAAATAAAGGATTTAACCTTTGTGACCCATAAGTCCCTAGGTGAAAGTGAAAGCATACTGACCTAAGTGTCGGCCATACTGACCTGGTAGTCTGCCAGACAGGGAAGTGGGAGGCGCCTGGCTTCGGAATATTGGTCTGGACTTGTGTGTAGCATCAAATAACTCACACCCGCTAACAGTAGTGAATTTGTGTGTTTTTATTAGTCATGACTAGTTTGCTAGCTAGCCAACTCCTTATACGTTATACAGGCTCTTCTGTATGAGGACTGAGAGGTGAAAAGGGAAAAGCTTTGAGTATGGTTCAACTTTTTAAATCCCAACGGCTAAGTCACGGGGATCTCAGGTTGCTGCTCCCAGCAGCAATAGCGTTAAAATTTTTATTTATTTATTTTAACATAATCTCAAATATAAACTCAAATCTCAACAGGAGTTACATCCCAATAACACAAAATATTTACAAAAACATATTTGCAAAATCAGTAGCCATATAATAACGAACCCGTTCATGAACCACTGTGGTTATATAAAATCTAGTAACGCCTTCATTTATTCTTACAATAAAGCAGCTTGTCCACAGCATGCCGTCTTAAATTAGAAGTGCCGTGCAGGTTAAAATAACAGTAATTACATATTAAATTTACAATTACTGCCAAATTAAATTTTAGCAAATTTAGCCAAAAGTAAATATGATGGGATTCTAACTGATGTGCAATACAAATGTGAAAAGATTAGTGTGCAAAGCAGGAGAAGCTGAATGCTTACATAAAATCCAGCATGAAGAACTGTTTCAAGCAGCTAGACATTTTACAACCGGAAAGCTTGGAATCTGCTAATTCCTAATTGAAAATTTTCTCCTCATGTTTTTGTAATTGTTTTCAGGAAATTGAAGGGTTAAAAACAATTTCATTACCACTTTCTGGTTTGCTGTTGTGTTCCAGGATTGTCCAAATCTGGTCCTGGAGGGCTATGTTGCAACACAGTTTACAGATTTCACAGCTCAAACACATTTTGTCTGCTAATTACCAGGTTTAGTAGGTGTGTTTGCGTAGGGAAATCCACAAACTGTGTTGCAAACTGAGAAACCATGTTCTACTCTGTATGTACAAATCATTATATCGATTCTGATACTGAATCTCAAAATTACGTGGATGAAAGAGCATGCTCACAAAACACGCAGAGAAGTTACCAATCTAAATTAACATGCAGCATTTATTGAAACTATTATATTAAATGAACAATTGGAGCACACTCCACAATGGAAGTCATCAGGGCCAAAAGTTAAATGCTGCTCCTAGAGTCTTCAAGATTTATGGCTGTTTGTTCATGTGAGTGATGCTCTTTTAATGTGTTTTCAGAGGACACAAACTGTAAGTTATTCTAAAGAAATGAATCCATCCATCAGTAAGCAGGCTCTCAGCCAATCACGTCACCCAGATCGGCACCATCCCGATGCCTCGTGTCTGCAGTGTGGACCAGTGCAGGGTCAGGGGTGGAACTGCTCATCCCTCTTTGTCCAGTATACTCCCCCCAAATTCGCCTCCCAGTTTGATCCACTGGCAGAAGCTGTTTTTCAGAGATGTGTCACCATCCCCTCTGGCCTGGACCCAATAACATCATCTTAGGCCCACACTGAACTCGCATTCACCATAAAAGCCTCAGCTGGTCAGAACATCTGAAAGCTGGCTGTCATATTTTCACCATGTATAACTGGCTAGAGATCAACAGTATTTCACTACCTATAGATATAATACACATATCTTTTAATATTAGAAAACATCTGCAATTAGCTTACAAATGAAGGCCATCCACTCTTTCTAAATTGTTGAAGTCTGTTCACCTCATGATACGCATTATTGCCCAGTGATTCACGGCTAATGCTGTCAATGAGGTAACATTAAATATACAGTCTTAAAAAACAGCTGACTGGTAGATATCAAATTGTATCAAAATTGGGCAACAGTTTCTATGACAGCCATGGCTATAAGAATCTATGAACACATTCACAACACATTATAATGCATTCATAAAGCATTATAAACATGGCTATAACTATTTATAAAAGGCATAACTCATTATAGCCATGTTTATTATGCATTATGAATGCTTTAGAAAGCTGTCATCAATAATGCACTATAGATACCTTCAATGCAGTAAAAATCATACTAATTCTTATACTTACGCATTATGCATTACCGGCATGCATGATGAAGATATCTAAAGTGCATTACAGGTGACAGCTTCACGTGAAGCGTTACTGAAAATTCCAGTATTGTATGCTAAATGCATCCCAGTGGCAGAATGTATGCAAAAGTGGAGATAAAAAAGAAAGTTTAGCTCTAAGTTCAAATTGTAATAAAGAAATGGGGGGCATCTTCAAATTTGTTTACCTCAGTATTAACATATGTTTGCCACACAGAAAATACCGAACTCTACATCTGTTTTAAATCTAACCCCATTAGTTTTGCAAAACAGGTTAATTCCAGAACCAGATTGCCACTGATATAATTATACTGGGAGAAAGACTGCGGGAGAAAGCAGACGCTGAGTTCACCAGAGCCAAGCAGACGTGTAATATCTCTATACTAGATGACTAATTTCTATAGTTGGTGGCATTAAATCTACTTATAACAAATGTTTTCGTTTTCATGTGCTCTGGGAGGAAATGCCAGTGGTTGCTTAAAATATAAAAACATGCACCCGCAGCTATATCGCTCTTCCATTTTCTGGAAATGTTTACTTGTTATTATATGTTAAAGCTGGAAGCCTTTATGCCTTTAGTGTGGTTCCTGACGCAATGCGTCAGGAAATCAGGTGAAGAAAGCACTTTAAACAAAGCCTATCATTTAAATTGCAGTAAAGTGAGGCCATTATTGTTCTGTTTACATGTACCTGGTTACAGAGTAAACATTCTTGTCTTTCTGCAAATGTTTCATTAATTATCGTCATTCATTACTTTGTTTTCTTACAGTATGTTATGCAGATAATCTCTCAAGCAGATCTTTCATGGGTGCAGTAGGGGAATAGATACCCTGACAGATTCAGGGGGCCCTTCACTTTACAGGCGCCCTTAAAAACATTATATTACACGTACAATTTGGGGGAGGGCAAGGTGACATTTTGCTAGGGGGTCCAGAATTCTTAGCTATGCCTCTACAAACTACTTTAGTGTCTAAAATCTGAAGTGTACCATTTGTCGATTTTCATCGGGAGCCCCTGGTTCTGTGATAAATTGGACTTGTTCTACCAGCGATGGGAGGGGAATAGGCTGGGATTTGTTCTCCAACTGCCCACAGCATGTGGTTATATGTCAGTGCTCTGTGAGTTACTGACTGCCAGCGCTGAATGGATGTGTCTTCTTATGGACGCTCAGCTCTGACTTCCTCACCCTGTGAAAAGGGGAGGAGTCAGCGAGCGGATTCCCAGGGCTTCACGCCAGCTCCTCGTTCCTGGAAGACGCACGACAACTGTGAGATACTCATTTTTGTGGTATAATTTTAGGAGGCAGATAATGCATATACTGATCCATAATTCTATTCATCCTTTTTGTACTGTGATAACTTTTCAAATGTTTTAGCACAAAATTACTGAATATGCATGTTTTGTAATTTGCAATATTCAGTTACTGGAAAACTAAACCGGAAGTGGAAGTTCATAAAAATACAATCTACAGTTTCTGATTAGTAGTTGAATTGCAGCAAAACAGTCATCAATAGCTAAATGCAAACCAAAGCATTTTGAGGGATTTAATAGAACAATGTATTTGCTAACTGATCGCAGCATAATCTGAATGAATGTAAAATAATTCAAATGAATATAAGATAATAAAAAAATAACAATTTTAATCCCCCCCAAGGAAGGATTCCCTGGGGCTGTGTATGTGCCCACCCACAAGGGAAGTTGTTAGCTGTTTAAAGAAACTTGGAAGTCTGGTACACAGTCCAGCCCACCAAGACCAATGCCATGGCTCCCTGGTCCAAGATAAAGAGAAAAATATCCTTTAGGTAGCCAGCTTTGAAAAGGAAAAACAGTTGCAGTATGTGACCGACTTTGCACAGATAAAGTAAATCAAAACACTCCACAGTGCTTCACAGGCAAAGTCAGACCCAATTCAAATATTTACATAAACCATTTGAATCCTCAAGTTTAATAGAGAGGGTTTCTAAGGAAACTTTAAGAGATGAGAGTTTTCATCTGGAAGACTATTTAACGATATTTAACAAAACCCTTGTTTACCTTGGGTCGTTTCTCTGCAGAACCCATTTCACGACTCCTACCAATAAACAAGATTAATGTGATCAGATTGTTTCTTTAAAGTGCTCCTGAGTATTTTAGGAAAACCTGTTAAGAGGCTCTTTTATGCACAGTGGTGACTTTTCTGCCAGGAAAATGACATATTGGAATGAGGAAGTCTTCACCTTCTGAAAGCCCTTTTTCCTATCAGTCTAGCTGCTAATAAAAAAATAATAATAATGCACTGCAGCCTGAACTAAGCCTTTTGATACTTTATCCTTGAATGTTCAAAAACAAAGCCCAAACTCGCTGTAATACGTCTATGAAAAAAACAACATTACATAAACAATTAATTAGAATGTTTTATTACAGTTTGAAGTGATCTTTTCCATTGCATACAGTGGTCAATACAAATGTGATTTTTTTTATACACACAAACTGTATTTGTGCACTGAAAACTTTTCAGGGGGCTTCAGTAGATCCTGTTCCCCTCACTCTGCTCACTCTTCCTATTCCCATGAAAAGGCCACCTGTAGCCATTACCTGCCGTAAAACCGAGATTTAGAAACATTTTCTGCTGTCATGTTTGTGGCACCAGTGTCCAGCGGCTAAGTTACATCACTTGTCATTGAAATCAATACTAACAAGCATCTGTAAGTGGAATCTAGTAGACTGGCTCAGAATTATGCATTTTCCATTCATCCATCTCACGAATGCTTATCCTCAATGGGGGGTCAAATTCCACAGGGGTTTTGGAGCCTATGCCATGCAGGACAGGACACAGAACGTAGGTGGTGGGACCAGGGAGACCCCCCAGGCCTGTGGCCAGGTAACTTCTGGAGCATCATTAAGCATGCAGTGATGAGCAAACATTAAGAAATTACCCATAAAAAAATTTAAAAGCCTGAATTATATATGTGTTTTTTTAGATGAGGCTAATATTATTGATGACACTCTGAGTGTTACGATTTGATATCTACCAGTCAGATGTTTTTTAAGACTCTGTATTCGATGTTACCTCATCAACAGCACAAGTCATGCATCACTGGGTAATAACTCGTATGGTGAGGTGAACAGACTTCAACAATTCAGAAAATTTCAAAAGCAAGCAGAGTAAAAATGACCCCAACCAGCCCACCCCAAACTCTGATGAGGTACAAAATCAAACAGCTTTACCTGCATTTTTCTCCTGACTCATGCATAATGAAGATAAGCATATACTATGGGATGTGCTTTAATTAATGGATTGCGTTGTACTCTGGAATGGATGGGGAGGTATTGGCTGTTGTTAGCTACATTTATTTGATTATATTCTTTACACCAGTGTCAGATCAGGAGAGTTCATTTCAGTATGTTTATTCTGACGCATATGTTCATCCTGGATCTACATGTATGGTGTGTGTCTGAGTAAATAAGGGTTCTGTGGTCATCAGTAATATACGTATGGTTCTGTGACTATGCTGCCCACTCCTGCCTTGAAATTATGCCCCCCTTGTATAGCTGTGTTCTAAGATCCATGACACAAGGTATGGGTACATCCTGGATGGCGTTCTCCAGGCACATAGCCAGCTAGTAAAACAACAGGTTTGGTTTGCTACCCATCAGGCACATAGCCAATCAGTGAAATCACAAATTTGAACCCCACTTGAAATTTGCCTCTATCCCTCGCTTACCAAAATCGACTGAAAGGAACCCACTCCAACCCACCAGGACTGGCAAAGTCTACCGAGAAGGACCACCCTGAAATTAATTTCTGATTATGAGTCTGTCAGTCCATCATGTCTTTAGACTGCGAGAGGACACCCACACAACATGCAAACTCCACACACATGATTCTCCTCACCCTGACGGGGGCAAGAAACACTGTGACCCAGGGAGCCCACCTACAGGAGTTAGGGTTAGGGTTAGGGTTAGAGTTAGAATGCCCCACTATTCTCTGAAAGCCCTTAGAATTTATCTTCAGATTTATTTTCATCATGTAAAAACAGTCCATCCCCCTTTGTCCTGTGAATAAGATGAAAATAAGTTGCTGATATTGCTATACATCCCCAAATGCTTTTCATCTGAAACACTATGTGACCAAATATCACAATTATGCACAATTCTGTCATAAATTCAAAAGAAATTATAATACGCAAAACAATGAAAAAGAAAATCTCTATAGCAAAACGCACAATGTAAATCGCATGCAAGCAAAATATTGAGTCTACTTAAAGTATATTTGCTTCAGTAAGATCTGAAACGATAAACACTTTTTTAGCCCAGGAGTGCTTTAATTTCCATGGGAAACAATCAGCAAACAGGGTGATTCAAAGCCTCGTCAAAAGCTTCTAAAGGCAAGAGAGCTGCCGTGGCTCATAGAATCAGACTCCCAGCAAAGTACTGAGACGTGGTAGCACCCCGAACACAGTCGTCACAGACTCTTGGCAAACAGCACCTAGATTGGTCCCCTTCAAGCTACTGAAGTTTGCCACCATATGAAAGATAGCAAGTTCACTCATTCACTGCTTTCCATTTTTTTTCTCATATGTGACAAAATCATTAAGGGCCACTTCTGACTAAAAAAAGATCTGAGGATCTGTTCATTTTCTTTTCTTTTTTTATTCTGGGACTGAGACAGCAAGAACAAAAATATACATCGCACCCCCTGAGGTCACTGGTCAACTACAGCTGCCAATCTGGTTTGCTAACAGGAAGTGCCATAGAGACCCATGTTTCCCCAGCTGGGTAGATGAAAACCAAGCCTGGCAGGATGAATTGTACTGCCCTGCTGAAACTACCACACACACAGACAGGGGCATACACACACACACGGGCACACACACAAACACACACACACACGCACATGTAGGGTAAACATATCCTTATGGGGACCGCTCATTCATTTCAATGGGAAAAATGCTAACGCTAACTATGACAAGCTTAACCCCTACCCTGCCCTAACCATAACCATAAGTAACCTAACAAAATACAAGAGTTTTTGCATTTTTAGTTTTTTCATAGCAGTCATCGTTTTTTATAAAATAGAGTTTTCCCTTATGGGGACCAGGAAACCGGTCCCCATAAGGGAAAAAAATGGATATTTATCACGTTATGGGGATATTGTGTCCCCATAAGGATAGGAAAACCCGCTCGCACAAGTAGGCACACACACACGGGCTCACACACACACACACACACGGGCACACACACGCACACACACACAGATACACACATGCACACACACACGGGCACACACACGCACACATATGCATGGAATACCTGTGTAAAGCAGCCAAATGTCACTCCCTATGCCATTATGCCACGGCGTGCATTATTTTAAAAATAGGATCTATGCCATTTAGTTTCGTTTAATTTATTTGTCTCTGGTTTGTGTTTGGGGTTGCCTTAGGCAGTTAACAGACATCTGTTAGTGTGACAGAGGTTTAAGTTAGACAGAGCTCTTTGGGAACCACTTCCGATCGTTTCTTCATGCCTTGTAATTACAGTCTATCTTATCTGAACTCACATTCCAGCCACATAGGAAAGACAACAGACAAGCGATAAGAGTTAGGATGCAAATCTAGAAGTTTTTTCCTTAACAAATTAACGGTACAATTCATTGACTTCCACTATCATTTGGGGCTAAATTAATGTAAAGGGACCCAGAATACAAACAATTATTGTGACAAATTATCTGATTTGAATACTAGTGACTATTAATACCAAGGGCATTGTTTTAGATACTTTTTTTTTCATATTTTACAAAATTATTTCTTCCATTTGGAAAAAAACAATATAAGCATTTGCCATGATTATTTGATAACATGCCATGATGTAAATTCATGGTCTGATTTAATAAGCATTGTATCAAAAACAAAATGATAAAAAATGCTTTTAGCCATATATGTGTAACACATGTAAGTTCTAATTTTCACATGCATTTCTGTCTGTTGAAATCTACAGGCAGGTGGCAAATGGTCTCTAACTCACCTCAAGAAAGGGCAAAAAAATGGGGGTAACAAAAACAAATGGACTGGACAGCTTGCTGTCAAATCATGTGGGCAGTTCTTAAGTGTGAGTGGTTTGTTCATTCTCTAGCAGTGACTGACAGCAGTGACTGGTGCCTGTATACGACCAACTGAAGGTCTCTTTGAGGAAATGGTTACTACTTGTTGGTTTTGTTGTGACATCACAAATGGTTTCACTGTGGGAGAAACACAAAACAAAAATGCTC